TGCTTGTGCTAGTGAAAAATTATTGCATGCCTTTAACAAATTGCAAAATGATTTTAATGATTTAAAAAGCAAGCATGATATTTTAAAATCCGATGTAAGGACCATGAATTTTTGATACTAGTTAAAATAATTTTCTGGTATTTTAAAATATTTAATTATGATTTTTAAAAGAGTATTTGTATTTTTCTCGATTTTCTACAATTTTCTATAATTTAAAAATGTGATTATATATTTATTTAAATAATTTTGATATTTATAAATTTATTTTGTGTGGTAAACATTTCTGGAATTAATCTGTTGTGTTACCGATACATAAATTTATTTTGTGTGGTAAACATTTCTGGAATTAATCTGTTGTGTTACCGATACTATTACGTAATACTTTAAATAATATATTGTATTATTAATATTATTACAAATTATTTCATATAATACATGGTATTATTAATTACGTGTTTTTGGTATAATTTATTGTATTATTTCTAATGTTACATATTATCTATCGTATTAGTATAATTAGTACGTTTTTCTATGTGGATAATTATCCCATAATTATTTGATTTTAAATATAAGTAAATATATTTTATTTATTAATTATTCTCATTTAATTGTACAATATGGGTATATTTTGACTATTTCGTATCAACTGTTATATTAGCACAACATGTACGTTTTTAATTGTAGATAATTATTTCGTAATTAGTTTAAATTTTTAAATACCATAACTATTTATTTTAATTATTTTTTAACCTTAACCCAAACCCTAATATATAAATATATATATATATAAATCCTCTCTTCCTCTCTCTCTCTCGTATTCAGTCCGCCGCCACCCCTCTTCTCCTCCGTCATCACTGCCGACCAACGCGACGTCCCCTTTCCGAATCCCGTCGCCCTCCGACGTCTCCTCATCATCTCCTCAAGATCCGCCTCCTCGCCTTTAGCCGCCTCTCACTGCCGCTGCCATAGTCGACGTCTCTCAGCCGCCCAACGCATCTCCACACTCGAAACGACGCCGCACAAGAGGCACGCCAAGGCAAGTCCCACTTCTCTTGTTTTGTAATCACAGATTTAACATTGCTTGTGATGTATTGTGTCAATGTAGTTAAACTGTACATGATAAAGTGTGATTAAGTGTGCAGGTAATTTGTTAGGTTCTGAAGATCAATCTACAAACTTGACATGTACAGTGAAGGCTGGAACTTGTTGCGGAGCTGAAGACAGTATGAAGAACTGATATGCAAGCCTAATATACGAGTGGAGGTCTATTGTGCAAATATTCAATCTATGAAGGGCTATAATAAATGTGTAAATACGGTTATAACAGAATTGTGTTTCCTGTTATTCTGTTTACACTGTACGTGCACGTGCATAGAATTGTACACACTTGTTCAGGGACTGAAGTGAACTGTATAAATAGAGAGATGTACGAAATCAAAACATAATGAGAATAATCCTGATTTCTTCTTCTCAAATTTTCGTTCAACTTTCCTCTTCTCTCATTTCTCTTCCAGTTCTATTTTTGCACCTTTCCTTTTGTTTTCAGGTTGATTAATGGCTAGGAGTTCAGCCAGGAGGATCAACAGAGAAGCACGATCCTCACAATTGGTATCAGAGCAGCTGGAATTAGAGGAGGGTGCTGAAGATTCCATGGCGGATCATGAAACAGCTTTGGAAAATAAGGAGAATCGACAAGGAGATCATAGGTAGGAGATCCTCATTCAACAGGGGCTCTTTAATCAAATGTCTTGCATGGAGGAAACTCTCACTCAACATGGAGCTCGTATGGATGAATCTTTCACCCAACAGGGAATCATCAACCAAGAATTCATCGCGCAATTAAAGGTGATAAACTATCAATTGCAAGAACTCAAGAATTCCAAAGAAAGAGGCAGGGAATCATCAAGAAATGGAGTGCCAGGTGATCAAAGAACCCTAAATTCAGGATCAAGAAATGATCGTGATCCTCTGAGATCAGGGTACAGGGATCAAAATCAAGAGGGCAACCAACAAGTTTACAAGAGGTTTGAACCCCAAGGTCATTTTCCAACAAGTCAAAATCCTGGTAATTCTCTGATTCAGAAGAACTCCTTCTTTAATAATCAGATTTTAGTTCAGCCAAAATCTTTGAGATTAGACTTCCCATCTTTTTCTGGATCTGAGAATGTGATTTCTTGGTTGGAGCAAATTGAACAAATTTTTGATTACTATGAGATCAAGGATGATGAATTGGTGAAAGTCTGTTCTTTTTATCTGAGAGATGAGGCATTGCAGTAGTTTAGATGGATCACAAAAAATCTTGATGAGTATAATCATTAGGAGATTTTCAAAGAAGAGATTATCATAAGATTTGGACCCAGTGAACTACTTAGAACCTATGATACATTTTCTACTATGAAGCAAACTTCTACAGTCAGGGAGTATTTGTCAAAATTTGAACAAACTCTAGGTATGCTAGATGACTAGCCCTCAAAAAGACACATATTAGAAAAATTCATTGGGGGGTTGAAAGATGAGCTAAGGTATGAGGTGGCTGCTGCCAGGCCCTCTTCCTTAAATGGAGCTGTGTCATTAGCCAAACTGTTTGAGGAGAAGCAAAAAAATGAAAAAAGAAGTAAAGGGAATTGGAATGTAATCAATCAAGGGAATATTTCAAATCGTGCCTCTCATGACTTACCTGTACAAGAAAAAAAAAATCTTCTTCTCAGTTCAGGAAGCTAACACCTGAGGAGATACAAAGGAGGAGGAATCAAAACCTTTGCTTTACTTGTGAAGAAAAATGGCATAGAGGGCCCTGAGGAGATACAAAGGAGGAGGAATCAAAACCTTTGCTTTACTTGTGAAGAAAAATGGCATAGAGGGCATCAATGCAAAGGGAAACAGGAATCAAAACCTTTGCTTTACTTGTGAAGAAAAATGGCATAGAGGGCATCAATGCAAAGGGAAACACATCTTCATCTTGGAAGGGATCTTAGAAGGAGGTACTGAAGAAGATGTAAATGATTCTGAAAAAGATGAACAAGAAGACATGACTGTGGAGTTGGCTGAAAGTTTAGTAAGGGGAGCCCCCTCTATCTCAGTGCAAGCTCTCAGTGGAATTTCAGCCTCTCACACAATTAGAGTTGTGGGATACTATAAGAATCAAGCTATCAGTATTCTGATAGATTCTGGCTCCACACACAATTTCATCAATGCTAAGTTAGTAAAGAAACTTGGATTACCAGTGACAGAGTATAAAGATTTCAATGTTCTTGTAGCTAGTGGAGAATTCATTAAAGGAGCTGGATTATGCCAGGGGGTTTCATTGGATTGTCAGGGAGTGAATATCCAAGTTAATTTGTTGGTAATGCCTATGGGGTGAAGTCAGGTGGTGTTAGGAGCTGATTGGATGAAAACTTTGGAAGACATTACCCTAAACTTCAAGAAATGAAGTCAGGTGGTGTTAGGAGCTGATTGGATGAAAACTTTGGAAGACATTACCCTAAACTTCAAGAAATTGCAAGTAACCTTCCTATGTGATGGAATCAAAAGAACATTACAGGGGATATTACCAGGAGAATCACAGCTTGTGAATGAGAAAAACATTGCTAAGTCTGTTAGAGAGCAGGAAGAAGGATACTTAATCTAATTATGCAGTGTCAATTTGCAGGAAGTTACTACAGCTATTAATCATGAAAGGTTACCTGAAGATATGCACAGGTTGATACAAGAATTTGCTGTTATTTTCCAAGAATTGCCACACCTTCCTCCTACAAGAGCCATTGATCATCAGATTCCTTTAGAAACTGGCACTAAACCAGTCTGTATCAGACCTTACAGACATGCACACTTTTTAAAAGAGGAGATTGAAAAACAAATTGAGGACATGATGAACAAAGGAATCATTAGTCCTAGCCATAATCCTTTTTCCTCTCCTGTAGTTATGGTTAAAAATCAGATGGGAGCTGGAGGATGTGTATAGACTATAGGTCATTGAACAAAGCAACTATCAAAGATAAGTTCCCTATCCCAGTTATAGATGAATTGCTAGATGAACTTCATGGGACACAGTTTTTTACCAAACTGGACTTCAAATCTGGGTACCATCAAATTAGAATGTATGAGGCTGATATATACAAGACTGCTTTCAGAACTCATAGTGGCCATTTTGAGTTTTTAGTAATGCCATTTGGTCTTACAAATGCTCCCTCCACATTTCAAGCTCTCATGAATACAATTTTCAAAAGTTTACTTAGAAAATCTGTATTGGTCTTTTTTGATGACATTTTAGTATACAGCAAAGGGTAGAAGGACCATTTAAGGGATTTGAAACAAGTATTTCAGATTATGAAGAACCATGAATTAGTTGCTAAGATGACCAAATGCAGTTTTGGACAGAAGCAAGTTGAGTATCTGGGTCACATTGTGTCACAAGAAGGGGTCAGTGTAGATCCAAACAAAATTCAAGCTATCACTGAGTGGCCTGTACCTAAATCATTGAAAGGGTTGAGAGGATTCCTGGGTATTGCAGGATACTACAGGAAGTTTATCAAGAACTTTGGAACCATAGCTCAGCCTCTCACACATCTTTTGAAGAAGGGAAATTTTGCTTGGAGTACAAATGCTGAAATTGCATTTAAAGCTTTAAAAGTGGCACTAACCAACTCCCCAGTTCTAGCAATGCCTGATTTCAACATTAAATTTGTGATTGAATGTGATGCATCTGGGACTGGAATTAGGGCTGTGTTGATGCAACAAGAGAGGCCCATAGCTTATTTCAGTTTTTCCTTGAAGGGAAAAAATGCTACACTGTCAACCTATGAGAAAGAGTTATTAGCTATCATTCTTTCTAAAAAAAATGGAAACAATATTTGCTTGGAAGAAGCTTTATAATAAGAACTGATCATCAAAGTCTTAAATATCTATTAGAGCAAAGAATCCACACAGGAGTTCAAAACAAGTGGCTGGCAAAACTTCATGGTTATGACTACACTGTTGAATACAAACCAGGAAGGATAAACATGGTTGCAGATGGGTTGTCCAGGATATATGAAGATGCAGTGGAAATCTCAGCCATCTCTACTGTCAGTTGTGATTGGTTGAAGGAGATAAAAATAATGTGCTCTGAAGATGATTTCTTCAAGGAAATTGATGATAAGTTGCAACAGGGACACCTCAGTTCTGAGGAGTATTCTAGGAGAGAAGGAGTTTACTACTACAAGGGTAGGATTTTACTTAGTCCTAATGCTCAAGACTTGAAGACTTCCTTATTAAATGAACACCATAATAGTCCTTCTGCTGGACATTCTGGAATTACCAGAACTTTACACAGATTGAGGAGGTCTTTTTATTAGAAGGGTATGAAGAAGGATGTCCAATTACATGTCCAAGCCTGTGATACATGTCAAAGGGCTAAAGGGGAGAATATTGCATCTCCAGGGCTCTTACAGCCACTGCCTGTTCCAGAGTATATATGGGAAGACTTGTCCATGGATTATATCACAAAATTGCCTAAAAGTGGTACTCAGTCTGTGATATTTGTGGTGGTTGACAGATTCTCAAAGTATGCCCATTTCTTTGCTTTGGCACATCCATACACTGCTCAGTCTGTTGCTCAGGTCTTCTTTGAAGGGGTATTCAAACTCCATGGAATGCCTAAATCCATAATTAGTGACAGGGACCCTTTGTTTACTAGTCTGTTCTGGAAAGAATTATTCAGGCTACAGGGAAGTCAACTCAAATTTAGTTCAGCTTATCATCCACAAACGGATGGACAAACTGAAATTACTAATAAGAATTTGGAATGCTACTTGAGATGTTTTTGTTGCCACAAGCCTAAGGAATGGGGTAAGTGGTTACCATTGGCTGAATTTTGGTATAACACCACTTGGAAAGTTTCCACCAATACTACTCCTTTTGAAGCTGTATATGGCAGGCCACCACCAACTTTACTTTCCTATATTCCCAAGAGTTGCAAGGTTGAATCTGTAGATGAAGCTCTTTTCTCCAGAGATATATCCTTGCAGTTGCTGAAGGATAGTTTGATGAAAGCTGCAGAGCATATGAAAAGGTTTGCTGATAGACATAGGAGTTACAGGAGTTTTGAGATTGGGGATTGGGTTTTTCTTAAACTTCAACCCTACAGGCAATTAAGTGTTTCCTCCTATAAAACTCATAAACTTTCTCCTAAGTATTATGGGCCTTACCATATTCTAGAAAAAGTTGGTGAAGTTGCTTACAAACTAGCTTTACCCCCTCATGCACAGATTCACCCAGTTTTCCATGTCTCCCAACTTAAGAAGAAGATAGGGACTGCAGTTACCCTTCAAGATAATCCACCAAGTTATACTACAGAGTTGGTTGATGAACCAGAGCAGATAATGGATAGGAGATCAGTGGTTTAAGGAAACAAATTGATATCTCAGGTTTTAATCAAATGGAAACAGCGATCATCTTTGGATTCTACTTGGGAGTCCTACTGGGATCTTGTCAAGAGGTTTCCCACATTTGACCTTGAGGCAAGGTCCAATTTAAGGAGGAGGGAATTGTTAGGTTCTGAAGATCAATCTACAAACCTGACATGTACAGTGAAGGCTGGAACTTGTTGCGGAGCTGAAGACAGTATGAAGAACTGATATGCAAGCCTAATATACGAGTGGAGGTCTATTGTGCAAATATTCAATCTATGAAGGGCTATAATAAATGTGTAAATACGGTTATAACAGAATTGTGTTTCCTGTTATTCTGTTTACAATGTACGTGCACATGCACAGAATTGTACACACTTGTTCAGGGACTGAAGTGAACTGTATAAATAGAGAGATGTAAGAAATCAAAACATAATGAGAATAATCCTGATTTCTTCTTCTCAAATTTTCGTTCAACTTTCCTCTTCTCTCATTTCTCTTCCAGTTCTATTTTTGCACCTTTCCTTTTGTTTTCAGGTTAATTAATGGCACGATCCTCAGAGAAGCACGATCCTCACATAATCGGCAAGTGATTAGTGAAATATGTATTTGGTTGTTGATGCGTGTGTAGATGACAGCGGTGAATAACTAATGAAAACAGTTACTGTGATAATAAGCCTTATTAGTAGTGTAATTAAGATTTTCAGTATGATGGTGTTAAAAAGAGAGTGAAAATAGTGAATTGAAATAGCGTAGGAAGATGTAGCAAGTTGTAAATAGACATATACAAGTATTAGAAATGTTGAATTGAAATTTGGATGTGAGTGAGGTGGTACGAAAATGTATGGTATTAGGTGAGAACAATACATATGAAACGAGTACTGTAGATAAAAGTAGCGCATAGGTAGATAAATGCAAGACTGTAAAGAAAGGAAGTATTTCAAAGAAAAGTGATACTTTAAAGATTATTTTAGAATAATTTTTACAAATATTTTAGAATAATTTTTACAAATTAAAAGAATTTATTTTATGAAAAGAATCATTTTAGGAAAATTATAATAATTTAAAAGAAATTATTTTAGAAAATGAATTATTTTCTGAATTACGTAGTTGCTGTTCATGATTTATAATTCTTAATTTTGATTATTCGATATGCCATGATGTTATTGCATGGAATTAGTTTTATTTATTATCTCGTTGTTGTGTTTGAGAACCGTTAGTAGTTCATGTCCTTAGTTGCCTAGCGTGTCGTGTACAAAACCTAGATACCTGTGTATTGTTGACTTAGAAAAGCAAGATGAGTTGGGGTGGGAAAGTCTATGTTTATATAATCGGATAAGACTGTTGATATATCTTCCAGGTTCGTACCAGTGGATCGGTGTCGCCATTGGGATTGGTTGGTTTGGTAAGTCACAGTAGATCGGTGTCGCCACTGGGATTTATTGATTTGTTGAGTCACAGTGGATCGGTGTCGCCACTGGGGGCTGATTGGTTGAGTCACAGTGGATCGGTGTCGCCACTGGGGGCTGATAGGTTGGGTCAAAGTAGATCGGTGTCGCTACTTTGATTCCTAAATTTATTTTTTTGGATGCACGTGGGGGATATGCGACCAGTCAGTTATCTGATAATATGAGCGTTGACTCTGTGTGAGATATGGACCAGTGATCTGTCATATGATGACTAGTTACATGACTTGTTACCAGTGGATCGGTGTCGCCACTGGGGTTGGTTGGTTTGTTGAGACAAGGTGAATCGGTGTCATCACTTTGGTTAGGATTTATGGATTCTTGTGAGATGTAGACCAGTTGTACTCCCTTCCATACATAGATCGGGATTAATATTTAATTATCTACAATTTGAGACATATGGTATATACATGAGGGTTTCCTTGTTTGGATTATTTCGCTCGACGTACTACGTCTCTTGTTATAGATTTTTAAGTATTAATTCCATCTATTGCTTGGATGATTAGTCTGATCGCTAGCTGCATGATCTCGTTACCTGATCGATTTTGGATGCTTTATGTCTATCGTGTTTTAGTAGTGAATTTGTATGTTGATTTTGTTGGATTTTCAGTTGCACGTTCTTTTGTCATTTCGGTTATCGTATCATTTTTCGCATTGGATTTCCGTTCGTTCTATTTTCTTTGTGGGGTCGGGTCTTGCCGTGCGCCATGCACCTGACGTACACCTGTTTTCTTTGGTGTACGTCAGACTTAGAGGAAGAACAGGTTCAGCTAGGAGATCTCCAGAAGCCAGAATATCCACAGCAGGAGTGCCTTATAAACGAAGCAGAAAAAGAGTTGAAGTTTAGTTATTCCTTTCAGTTTATTTTCGTAGCATTTCCTTTTCCGCCTGATCATTGTATTTTATATTCTCCAGTATTTCATTCAGATAGTTTTGTATAAGGGCATGTTGACCCGAATATTATGTCTGGTTTTGGTTCTGAGTTGTTTATTATATTCTCATTACTGTGATCGGGGACATGTACCTTCGTTTGTATATCTTGACGCTTAGCGTATTAGATTGAGAAGACGGGGTCTAGCACTTATCTCTTCTCAGTTTAATACGTCACGGGCTTGCTCGCGTCCCGATTCCCTGGTATTTTGGGAAGCGGGGCGTGACATCCGATCATGAGAAGCTAGTGTCCAAATTTGATGTCATTGAAAATAAAAATACTATGCTTAAAGAAAGCAATGACTTATTAAATTTGGAAAATGGAAATTTGATCTCATCTATTGCTAGCCTATCTCATGCTAAGATTGATGCCATGTTAGAAGTAAAGAACATAAAGAATGATACAACTTCTTTTATAAATAACTATTTATGTTCTACTTCTAAAAATGCATATGTGCCTAGAAATGAAGATTTGAATCTTATGAAAAATAGTATTTCATCTTTAGATTCAACTTTGAAAACATGCATTAACAACCATAAGAAGCTTATGAATATGTGTCCTAAGTCAAAATCATCCACTCATTATGCACACATGTATAGCAAAACTTATAAGTGTTCTATATGCGGCCGTCAAGGTCATTTAGCTAAGTTTTGCTATGATGCACACAAACATAAGAATTCTAATGCTCCTTGTGCATCTCATGTAGCTTCTTCATCTTGTACACTTACACATTCACATGCTCATTCTCACAAAGTTCATCATAAGCATGCTAGTGTGTTCAAGTGTGATTATTGTGGTCGTTTTGGTCATTTGGCCAAATATTGCTTTGATTTGAAAAGAAAATCTCATTTGACAAATGCTTCCAATAGACCACATGTTTTTAAATGTGATGTTTGTGGTAGGTTGGACATCTTGCTAAATTTTGTTTTGATTTGCAAAATACTCCAAATTTGCAATTTTCTCCAAAAAGACCACCTTTGTTTAATGATAGTTCTCATTTGCAAAATAATTTTAAAAGAAAATCTTTATTTGAAAATGATTCCCGTGCACGAGCTAATGGTCCACAAAAACAAATGGATCTCTTTCATTGTACATATTGCAATCGGAAGGGTCATTTGAGCGATTATTGCTTTGACCGTGTTAGTGCACCACATATGCCTAAGAGGGTTCATAACCCTAGGCCTTTTAGCTTTAATGATAGGGGTCATGTCCCTAAACCTTTTGGTACCAATATTACTTGGGTACCAAAACAAATTTGAATTTTAAACCAAGAATTTTAGTATTTTTATTTTTCTTTGTCTTGGTTTTGAAAACTATGCTTTAAAATCTTTTGGTTATGAAAACAATTTTTCTTATATCAAATCTTTCATTTTCATGATTATTTTTTTTAGAGGACTATGTTTATATAACCCTCCGGAGTTATTGGGTGTTTATTCCCAAACATTGTTTACCGGGTGCTAAAATGTTTATATGGGTTGATACTACCTCAAGAGCTAGATATAATTGTCTCTCATGATTTTTTAAATCAATGATAATTTGGTCTTACGTTT